TCTAGCTACTTTATCTGTGAAATGACGTATCTTTGACTGTTCTCATGAAGTACTGCAAGTGGTCATGGAGACATTAAAGCACTTTGTACTTGACCATCGGTAGTGACAGTAGCTCGTACTTAAGCTGTTCTTGGCATGGAGCAGATGTATGTATGTATGTAGGAGCTCATTTTATCCTGATAGCAACCCCATGCGGTGGGTACGATTATTGTTCCTGTTTTGTTTGTGTTAGTTTTTGGAGACAGGGTCTTACTATATAGTCTAGGCTGGCCTCCAACTTGTGATCCTTCTGCTTAAGTCTCCTAAGTACTGAAATTACAGGCATGCACCACCACACCCAGTTTATTTTCTCTGTCTCAAAGTAAGGAAACTGCAGCCCAGGGAGATTGAGTATCTGTGAGCCCCCAGCTCCCCCAGAGCCCATTATTTTCTCTTGCAGTATAAGTAGGTGCTTAGAAAACAGTAGCTGCTATGATGGTCATTTAAAAAATTACTTTCTTTTGATAATAATCTCAATAGCTTTAACTTCCAAAATTTGTCTAGTACTTTTTACATCCAGAAGTTTCTGATGATGCTTCTGAAGACTGTCAAATTGATTGCTCCAGAGAAGCAGTGCTCCCCAGTCAGGGCAGATCTTGGGTCCCTGCCTGAGAGACTGTCACTCTGTGACTTCTAGGCTGTGGCCTGCTACGCTGGGGAGCCAGGCTAGGGCCCTGCTCAGAGACTGCATCGGCCCGGTGGATTTTGTTGCAGCTTTGATGTTCCAGATGCCAGCCAGCTGGGGCTCCCGGGGCGGCACAGGGACACGGGGCTGCCCTGCCCAGCCCTAACTCCTCGGTAGTTAGGAGGTACATGGTCATAGATAGAAGTTAGATGGGGCATATGGTCTGTCCCCAGTTAACTCCAGTAGCAGGTCATCTGCAAAATTGCAAAGTTGAAATAGCACAGTCATTACCCACCCCAGGGCCAAAAATAACTGGGACCGGAATAGGGCTGTACACTCAGCCTTATATTTGCCTTGGGGCCTCTGGCTCCTCCCCTTGAAGCCTGGGGTTCTTGCTGGAAGACGTAGCCTCAACCCGCAGGCTGGAGTGCAGGCTGGCTGCATCCTGTTGTAGGTGGCTGGGTGGTAAACAGGACAGGGTGGCAGGAAACCTCACGTGTCTGTCTGTGCGGAGGGGCCCTGTGCTGGTTTCTGAGGGGAGGTTGTGAGCACACCACGAAGAGTGAGTCGTGTGTGCAGGAGCATGGGGCCGGGAGGCCTCCCTCACTGAAAGGAGGGCCTTGGTGGGCCCTGGGGACGGTGGTGGCGGGGATGCAGGACAAGTGAGAAGCAGGAAGAGACTGGACGACACTGCCCAGCAGGGGTGCTCCTTCCTTGTGCCACCTCCTGGGGGAGGCAGGCCTGGGTAGTAAGTCCACGGAGGGGAAGACACTCAAGGAGGCGGCTGTTTTGGCCCGGCCTTGGGAGAAAGAGGAGATTCATGCTCAAGAAAGGCACCTGTGATGCGCCTGACCCTCGCTGAGTGCATTGCATTTCATGATCTCACTTTATTATCTTACCCAAGGGTCACAACAGCCCAGAGATATAGGGGTTGTTGCCTCCCCCATTTTATAGTTGAGAAAACTGAGGCTTAAGGGAGCTTCTTAGAAGTCAGAAGTGGGATGCTGGAATTAAGGCCCTTGCTCGGTTTTTTTTTTTTTTTTTTTTGTGGTACCGGGGATTGAACTCAACCTTGCTCAACCTTGTGCTTGCCCGGCAGGTGCTTATGCCACTGAGCTGTATCCCCAGCCCAAGGCCCTTGCTCTTAACCACTGGGCTATCCCCGCTCAAAGAAGGGTTCCTGGAAGAGCCGGTTGTATGAGGTTTTGATCAAGTGGAAGGGAAGACTATTTGGGATAGAGTATGCGAGAAAAAGCTCCAAAGGTGAAGTTAAATGTCCCATTGTGAGGTGGAAGTTCTATGGAAGATGGAGTGTGAGTGTGTGTGAGAGTGTGTGTGTGTGTGTGTGGTGGGAGAGGAGATGGGGCTCCAGCAGTCACTGCAGGGATGGGATCCTCTCTGACTTGCTGAGTGACCTTCCACAGGTTGCATCTCTCTCTGGGCCTCATTTGCATCAACTGTCAAGCAAGGGGTTGGGGTAGAGGGTCTCTGAGGCTGGTGAGTAGTTTTTAGTCTGCAAGGAGGCAATAGAACAGGGGAAGGGTCAGGCCAGGGAAGGAAGAATGCAGAAAAATGCCAAGTATTTCAGGGGTCAAGGAGGACAGGGGAATGTTTTGACAGCAAAGAGATCACCAGTGACCTTGGCAGGCTTTGGTGCTTTGGAATGGAGGGACAGGAAGTGGCTCTGGAGAGAGGCCAGAAGTGGCTGAGCCAGAGGAAGTGGGAGAGTGGGGACATGCAAACGGGAAGCAAGGGTGTTTGCCATAGGGTGGGCATGGATAATGAGGTGAACAAGGCCACCTCTGGTTGATTGGTCTGGCCTGCCTGAGGCCTGATGTTGGGCAATAGAGGGAAATGGAGCTGCAATCAGTTAGCAGTGTCTGCCAAGGACACAGGCAGCGGCCATGGCAGTACTTTGTTTCTCCATCCTTGCCTAGATAGGTGCCAGGTTGGAAGAGGTGGTCTGGGTATCCTGGTTCACAGTGAGTCAGCTTTGGTATTTGGAAAACCCAATTCCAGATGGAAGGTTGTAGCTCCAGCTCCCAGAAGCTCTCCCTGACATTTGGCTAGAATTACGGGGGTGAAGTAGTCTGCCACTAGTCAGGAGCTTGGACTTTAGAATCGGAGTCCTTGGAGCCTCAGTTTCATGTGTAAAATGGGAATGAAAGAATGTCTGTTTACAAGGTAGCTGTGTTTGAAGTGATGGTAGTAGCTAGTGCTTTGTTGTTGGGTCTTTGTTATGTGGTAGCTCTGCCCCTATCCTGGTGCTGTTATCTTGGTTTCTTTGAGAAAAGGGCCTATGTCTGATTTGCTCTGGAGCCTCTCATCTGCTGCTGGAGCAGGGGCACCTCAGGGACTTTCTGCATTTTGGAGGAACAAATGGAATAGGATTATGGTGGATGGGACAGAGGATAGGGTCATTTTGGGCTTTAGGGTCGTCTCAGTGAGGTAAAGTCCTATGTATGAAGGCTAAAGGGTAGTTCTTGGCCCTGAGCTGGGATGAGGCTGTCTAGGTCATTCCTTTGTTCAGCAAATACTGAGTACTAGCTGCATAGCAGGTCCTAGACGACCACTCAGCAAATCCCTCCTTCCTCGGATCTCGAGGGGAGGGTAATACCCATGGTTTCCTGTATGAATCCCCCCGCCTGCCATGTGTGCTTGTGTGTGTGCATGCATGTGTGTGTGTCTCTGTCTCAGAAACTCAATGGATTGTGTGGTTCAGTGCAAATCCAGAAACTGAGTGTATCGGTCCCTCCAGGCTGTGGAGGAAGGAGACAGCGCCCCTGGAGTAAGGCTCTGTGATAGGAGGTAGGAGGGGCAGCAGGGGCCCAGATAGCATAGGGGACCTAGAGGTACCCCCTGGGCCCTGAATTCTAACTCCTAACAGTTTAAGAACCTCAGAGCCAGGCTGAGCCTCAGGGGGAACCCACAACCCTGCCAGGGGCTTAGCTGCCCTGAACCTGTGATGCCCACTCTGGACTAGCTTCTTGTGTAGCATTTCCGTCAGCCCTGGCACAGGACTTCTGGCCTCTTCTCAGAATATGGTCTAGGGCAGCAGGCCCTGCTTACCTCTCTGGTGGCCCCTGGCGGCTGCTTCCTGCCTGGGTCCTCCTCTGTCAGCAGGATTACAGGTGAGCTGCCCAGCAGTTTTCTCATCTGTGGAATGGGTGTGCTCACAGTGAGTACCTCCTATAGGTGCAGCAGCTGTGAGGGGTGATAAGGGCAGCAGGGCCCACGTGCAGAATGTGAGCCATGCATTTGTGCTGGGACCAGGGCCTGTGGCTCTGGAGCCTGTCCCTGCTGCTCTGCCATGTTGTGTCCTTCTCAGTGGCAGGGTACATCTGGCGCTCAGCTCCAAGGAGGGGCCCTCGGGATGGTCAAGCCCACAGCAAGGGCCACACCTCCCTTCGTGTCTCCCTGCCTCCTCCGTGCCCTCTTCTGTGTGAGGGACCAGGGAGGAGCCTCTTTCCACCCCTCCCTTCTGGTTTATTTTCCCACCCAGTGGGCAGCTCTTCACTCATCTCCCAACCTTCCTCGCAGCGGTCACGCAAGGGGTCCTCAGAGGGCCTTCCCGTCTGTCCTGCTCTGTGCCATTGGTGCAGCCCAGAGGGACAGCATCTTTGATCTCAAAGACTTCCCTGAGACTTGGGGGTGGCCCACAGGAGCAGAGCTAAAACGCTAACCCAGGGCTATTGAGTCCATACGGCATCCTTGGAGAAATCCTGTCCTCCTTCCTTATTGACCCTTACTTACCCCATCCCTCTCCTTGGGCTGTTGTCACTTTGCTGGTCCTTTTCCCCAAGCCAGTTGGATGCACAGGTAAACAGTAAGGGCTGGGGCCATGGCAACTGGTCAGGTGACTGTAACTCTACTTCCTGCATGTGGCTTTTGTTCCCTGAGCCTCAGTTTCCTGATCTGTATAATGGGACAGCACCCACCTCACTGTGTTACAATAAGGATTCAGTAAGAAAGTGGGTTGATTTTCCCTGGGCAGTTGTTAGTGTTGAAACTGAGTTTGGGCTTGGGACTTGAAACATGGCCAGGTCTTGGCTCTGGGGCTGGCTGGCTCCCGGGCTTGGTTATGTGACTTCGACCTGCATCTATTTGCAGTGGGTGTGATACAAAGTCTGCTTCGTGGGTTGTCCTGAGAATTAACAAGGACATTTTGTATAAAACTTCTTACCCAGCACTTGGTATATTCTAAAAAACATTAGTTCTGTATTAATAGTAAAAATAACGATGGGGCACCCTAGGGCCAGGTTTTCCAAGGAGGGAGGCTGGTGAGAACTGGTGGGCCTGCGAGGCAGGATCTGAGGGCCACTGTGTCGCACCCTAGAGCTGCCGGAGAACTGGACGGACACCCGGGAGACACTGCTCGAGGGCATGCTCTTCACCCTCAAGTACCTGGGCATGACACTGGTGGAGCGGCCCAAGGGCGAGGAGCTGTCGGCTGCTGCTGTCAAGAGGATCGTGGCCACGG